AAAATAGATTAAGTAGAGTGTTTCTGGAATATCCAAACACATCACATTAAAATAGATTAAGAAGAGTGTTTCTGGAATATCCAAACACATCACATTAAAATAGATTAAGTAGAGTGTTTCTGGAATATCCAAACACATCACATTGAAATAGATAAGCATGTTAAAATTCAAATTACAGAATGTCATTTGCCCAGATTTTCTTACTAACTAAGATATTTTTGTATATTTAGTACCCAAAGCTGCTAAGACAATTACATATCTGTTTAATAGCTTGTAGAATATCATCATGTTGTCAAACGTGATTTTACTCATTCCTTTAATATCTTGTACTGTTGACTCTTTTAATTTCACACAAGTTAACAGAACTGATTTCATTTACTTCTAACCAGAAAGGTAAATGTTCACAATAACTTTAAACGAACATTGGTATGTGTGTGTAGATAACAGTCGGGTAGCAACTGTATACACTGTTCATTTATTGAATCATATTGTATCATTTTTTCTGTGATCATCTTTAAATTCAATATAAAATGTGTTTTAATCAGGGATTGCTTGAGTGATTAGCATGCTTATGTTTGTTTTCATAAATCATGTTAAATGTAAACTGTTAGTTTCTAGAAGTATTTATCATTTTATATGTGTAGTGTTAGTTTCTAGAAGTATTTATCGTGTTAAATGTGAATTGATGGTTTCTAGAAGTATTTATCATGTTAAATGTGAACTGTTAGTTTCTAGAAGTATTTATCATGTTAAATGTGAACCGTTAGTTTCTAGAAGTATTTATCATGTTAAATGTGAACCGTTAGTTTCTAGAAGTATTTATCATGTTAAATGTGAACCTTTAGTTTCTAGAAGTATTTATCATGTTAAATGTGAACCTTTAGTTTCTAGAAGTATTTATCATGTTAAATGTGAATTGTTGGTTTCTAGAAGTATTTATCGTGTTAAATGTGAACTGATAGTTTCTAGAAATATTTGAAATCGCTCTTTTTGTGTCTTTGTTGACACGTTTTGTCCGTACTTAACATTTGGAAGGACTGCTCCATCTCAGTGTTATTTCTTTACAATAAACCAATTTGAAGTATACCCACTAAAAGAGTATTAATTAATTAAGCTGGGAAAATCTATTGAAACTAATTGTTATGTTGATTCATTTTGAATTTACACTGGATGTAGAATTCGTATATTTCCTTAACTGGCCAAACCGTTAGATGTATTACTAAGATTACAGCTGAAAATATTGTTAACAGTACCCAACTGATAATTATCTGTTATAGGTTTTGATTTTTAATGTTACAGTATTTTTAGTCAGTTTCTGACACAATATTGTCTATAAGGTATTTTTATACAGCATTGCCAGTGTTTCTGAAAAGTTAACTTTTTTAAAGAATAGTAACTGTTATTACCGGGAATGTTTGATTTCCAGAGTGATTTCTATGTGTACGACATCGACACTAACAAGTGGACCTTGATCACAGACAACACGGCAGAAATGGGAGGACCTCAGTTGATATTTGATCATCAGATGTGTATGGATGTAGAAGAAAATACAATCTATGTTTTTGGAGGAAAAATTCATACAAAGTGAGTGTCTTTTAAAGTGAAAGATTTACTGGTATCTACCTTTATCTCTGTAGTATCAATTTCCAATATTTAATTTCACTGTTTCTACACATTGGTCAGCTAACAATTTCATTCTAGTACACAAGGGAATGATATTCTGTTATTATTACAGATGGCCTAGCTTAACTTTTACTGTAGTCCCTCAGGCTGTATTGACTTTCCTTAAGCTATTATTACAGATGGCCTAGCTTAACTTTTACTGTAGTGCCTCAGGCTGTATTGACTTTACTTAAGTTATTATTTCAGATGGCCTAGCTTAACTTTTACTGTAGTCCCTCAGGCTGTATTGACTTTCCTTAAGCTATTATTACAGATGGCCTAGCTTAACTTTTACTGTAGTCCCTCAGGCTGTACTGACTTTCCTTAAGTTATTATTTCAGCTGGCCTAGCTTAACTTTCACTTAAGGAAAGTCAATACAGCCTGAGGGACTACAGCCATCTGAAATAATAAGTTAAGCTAGGTTTTTACTTTATGAAGGTTTTAAAGATGACAATAATTTGATTCCCTTTGAAAACGACAGTTTAAAATGTTCTGCTTTTTTATCCAGTCAAGTTGTTGATGAACATGCCAGTGTTTGTCCCGAACCTCTCTTTAGTGGACTTTTTGCTTATCGTGTTCCGACTAACACTTGGTACAAACTGCAAGATGACAGTGGTGGTTGTACGTGCCCTAGTCCATATGAACTTCGGGCTCGTGTTGGTCACTCCATGCTGTTTCATGAGGTAAGCAATATTAATTCTAGTTCAGTAATAGATAGATAATGAGGAAAATATGCAATTATTTTGAAATTTGTTGATTAATGCATTCATCTAGGTCCCAAAGTAAAGGCTTTTGGTTTCAAATACATTTCTACCCACACATTGAAATTTGGGTTTGTTAAAAACATTTAAACTGGAAACAAGAAAAGGAGACTTCAATGAAACACCCAAGTAGTAACTTTTAAGAAATACTTGGTGTTATCCCATATAAGATTAAATTGAAAACCTGTATTCTTTGTAGTAAAATGTCAATTTGATGAAAAAATTGTATTCAACATTTGTTACTAGTATTTTAGCATGGAGATAATACCAAGTTAATTTAAAAATTCATTTACTGTTAAAGCAACTACAACAATGAAACTTTTCTTGAGAAGCAGTAATCAACATTGAATACTTGCATGGAGTCTTTAT